TTATATCTTTATGTTTGAAGCCTGAAATGTGGCAAAAGGTTGAAAAGTTCAAGGGGGCCGAATACTTTCGCAAGGCACTGTAAATGTAAGCAATTATTAATTATTAATAAACCAAAATCACCAGCAAATGTGGTTCTATATATAGTTCAGAGTCATCTATACTAATATTTTGGTTTTAGAATGTAGTGGTAGCGAACAACAATGCATTACATTATATCTTTGCTTTAGTTGGTTTCATAAAATTATTTTAAATATTATGCACAACACTGAAGGTAAACTGCAAATGATCTATATGGTCAATCACAATAAGACTTACTTTTTAACTGAATAGCAGACCCCATATTTGGGTTCACATTGTGAAACAAATTCATTTTTTTTCATGTTGCACACTTGCCCAAATTACCTGAAGCATGCAGTAAAGTGTACTCTTTTGTAATTGTAATTGTTTTTCACAAACTTTCCCGTCTCATCTAACTTTTCATGAATGGAAAAGACAGAACAACATTTTTTTATTGTTTTTGTTGTTAACATATAGATTTGTATTCCTAATAAAAAACCAACATATTTGGTGAAGTCCCTTTAATCTCTTGAGCAAAAGTGCCTCAGTAGTGCTAATGAAATACTTCCATGCCATCAGCATATTCTCGTATACAAGCAAACTGCTACATAATAATCCTCTTAATATTAATTGTCTCTCGAGCTGTTTCACTGCAGGAAACCTACAGCTGTGTTTTAAGGCGTCCTGCAAATACTCAAAAATAATTGTAGGTCATAACGTGATGTCAATGAATGCCTGAGTTCACAGAAAACCCTAAAGTGAAATAAAAACACTTACTGTACCACTTCTAGGCAATTATGAAAAGCCTAAAATGAAGTATCAATAAAATTACTTTTTAAACACATTTTTATAAGAAAATAAGAGTAAAAAAAAAGTATTTTCTTACAAAAAAGATAGGTCCACTTGGCCCACTTAGTTCATGTTAAGTACATAGTCTAGCTACAATTTACTTTAACAACTTAGTTTAGTTGTTGACCAGCCAGAGGATCATATCAAGTCAATTCTTTAAAGAAGCCAGGGTTTTAACCACAACATCCAGTTATAACAGACTGCCAGACTAGCTTCTTCCATACTTCTGCAACACTTGGAATGGTTTTAATACATGTTTTTTATTGAGCCCTTTGTCTGTTGAGAAACAGAACTGAGAAAAAAAATGTTTTCTTGACAAATATTACACTGGAAGAGCTGGGATATAGGCAGAAAGCACCTTGGGTAAATAAAGTACTTAAGACACTACATTGCATTACATGATACTATCCTAGATTATATTCAAGCTGAAAACCTGTATGTAACCAATTGACTACTTTATGCAGATACTTGAACCTTACATTCAACTGTTGTTAGAAAGCCAGAGTAAATATAGATATATATAGATATTTCAATTGAGTATATTTACAACTGCAGCCATCTAGAATGTGCAGCAGTTGTAGGCATGCAGCGGTAGGCACTGCAGCGCATAGAGAAATTGCGGCACCTCATTATTTTGACCTGTCAAATGAAGGACTGCACTGCTCTGTACAACTGCCAAGTGGCACAATGAACACTGTACATTGGTGATCAATGATGTTTTGTCAGTCATGCTCAAGTATGCGTGTAAAAACCATTAAAATTAAATTAATTTAAATATGCAAAACTAATAGATACCACTTAATAATTCAAAAAGCCATAATAAAAATCAAGATCGCTTAAAACCTCAAAAGGGTATTTTGAATGTTCTTCATCAACATAATGAATGGGGTGATTAAATGACTACTTACTTTTCGCTTCTGAGAAGGTGGTGTGTAGTGAGATTTAATACTTTTTCCAATATGTGCTGGAGGTGGAAAAGGGCTGGAATTGCTTTAAGAATACACTGGAGCTGTATGTGTTTAACTGACTAAAAGGATACTACGGTGAATCAAAATTAAATGTTTATTACCTTTTAGTGTGAGTACTTTCATGCACTCATCTATGTTATAGCGACAAACCCTTTTTCAACATCTCTACCTCAGTCACAATTCCAAATGTGATTTATCAAAATATAACTGATAATAAAAATACCAGTTTAATAAGCACTGTAAACTGTATACAATAATAATTATTGCGTACATATAGTTATAGTTATAGTCTGTTGTTATAAAATTGCACCTTGCAAGGATTCATGGGGAAATGTAGTTAAATGAGCACTTCAAAACATTCCAAAATAACCATAGCAAGTCGCAGAGTTAAAGAAAATCTACAGTATATGAAGAAGGCTGGGATACTGTTTTGCATCTTTACTTTTATTCTCATCTACCACCAACAGCCATATAAACATTATATTTGTATTAATAAATGAATATTGTTATTAATAGTTCAAGTACTGTAGGTAGCTGCGTCAGCATGTGTAGGCTGCAAAGGAAAAAGTAAAAGTTTATTTCATGCTGAAAAGATAAGAAAAGAAACAAAGTTTCAGCCAAAACATTGTTTCATTTCTTCTTTTTTTCAGTTTGGAATAAACCTTTACCTGTTCTATTGTTAATAATGTTCGGAAACATTATATTTCAGTTATTTTTATTTTCAGCTACCAAAGTTTCCCTTTTGTTTCATGATTCCACATTAATTGGATTTAAAAAAGTAGGCTTCCGGTGAATGAATGGTATAGTACTGTACTGTACTTCAAAATACCATACAGTACATAGTGGTCTAATGCGAGACCCTTCAATGTAATGGATCCAAGTTCCGTTCATGGCAATCCCCTTTTCAGAAAAAATGTACATCCATGTTACATTTTAAAACAGTAGCTAGACTATGTACTTAATATGTTCATACGACATATTGTTACAACTTAAGTTGATTGAAAAGTGATTGAGAAGTGTCTCTTAAGTTTTAGATAAAGTTTGTGACACTTGGAACACACTTCTGTTTGGACACTTCTAGCTTCAAAGCAGAGAGGATGTTTCTTGAGCCCTGGGGGGCCTCAGCAAAAACAATTGAAAAGTTTACCTTAGTATACCTAGGTAAGTTGTGGGTTAATGATTTTCAATGAGCAGTACAGAAGCACACAATATAAGATCGCATTAAGAGTACAGAGAGACAATAACAAGAACAAGAAAGAAAACGTAGAAGAGAGAAGAGTCCAGAGGAGTTGGAGCTTGAAGCTTGCACCAGGCGAGAGCCCCTACTTCATGATCATCCAAACAAAACCTGACTGGAGCTAAGTATTTGAACCTTGCAAGAGAGAGCTTGCTATTCTGTGTTTTAAGGGAACTTGGGTTTCCAGGGTACAAGATACATTGGTTAGAAACACCTTTCCTGATTAGAGTGAATTTTTAGAATAGGAAGATAGGCTCCCATTTATTTTGTGGCAACCGGGGTGCAGAGAGAGACTTCACTACAGGTTGTATCGTGTTTAGTTAGAAGGCAGCTTATCTCCTATGCAGCCACTGAGACCATTAAGAGCTTCATACTTAGTAGAAGTCTGCGGGTTTTCTGGGTGATTAGAATGTTAGGCCTCTGAAACACCTTGTTTGTAAATACTGTATATAGCGTAACCTGTGTGTTGTATGTTTTGCTGTGGGCAGTGTAGTTTGTCTCTTCTCATTGTAATACATATTTGTTTAAACAAATTTTGTGCCTCCATTATTACTTCTCTCACCAAAGCTGTGCCAATGAACAGAGAATTCTTGTGCCTCTCATTATACCAACTGATTGGGTATATTCTGGAGAAATCACTTCCAATTTGGGGATTGTGAATAGTTATTTCACTTATTGACTAATCTCCTCAGTCAAATCCAATTCTGAAAAAAAAAAACATTTGCAACAATATAAAATGTTATGTTTTAAAGAAATTTGAATATTTGACTAAGAAAAAAAAACATTGAATAAAGCTATGGTTTTAATGTAATGTAACTAATTTGAGTAATGGAGGGCTGAAAGCTAGACAGAACTGTAGAATACTATAGTGTGCTTTCCACTGGCATGGATTTTGACAAGCATTCTAGATGGCTGCATCTGCACTGCCTTTCATTTATAGTAAATGTGTGGTTAATCTTTAGGTGCAGTCAGAACTACAGGTTTCCTTGTAGTGTTTGCGACAAAAGTTTTTTAATATACTCAAAAAGTGTCACAGAGGGCAACACAGGAAGTCCACCACAGTTTCATTTTAACAAGAAACAGCATGAACATCACACTGGCCAACAATGACTTTAAGTTTTGAACAATTGAACCTCTTTTTAATAACAATTTTATGGTAGCTAATTGGATTCATGTGGTCTAGCCAATTTTATGAACTAAAAATGATGTTCTTGTCAAGGCAGCTGTTAAAATTTCTCTAATTACAAGAAACATGAAAAGTTTATTTGCAATAGCTTCTACTAGCACATTGATCCATTTCTGCACATACAGCAGACCAAACTGGTGATGTTATGGAGAATGTAACTAAATGACTATTGTAATAAAGCTGCTGCCACAAAATAAACTTAAACTGGAACTGAAATCTTTGCTCCATGACCCCTACAGGAAAAAACAAATAGATTTCTATCTGATATTTATATATGTATACGTTATAGGCATAACAACCCTTTTCCTTTCCCAGGTGTCTTAGTATACAATACATTACAATAGGATAATTGATTTTTATAATATTTATTGATTCCCAGCTTTATATAAACTGGATGTAGAGGCATAAACATAGTACATTTCTACCATTTTCAACAAAAATATAACCAATATTTACAATTATTGTATTAAAAATACAAAAAAGGGATACAGACTCCACCAATTGTCTTTCTAAAAGACATACAGGTACAAGTAGTATCAAAAGTATGAGGAAATCACCAGTTAAATGTACATTTTGCACTTGACATCACAGATTGAACTGAGATTAGCAGTTCTATGTACTACAATTACCTAATGCTTATACATTTTTGTGCAACTTGTATTAGAACTAGGATTCTGCCTGCCTATATGCACACAATCTCCATAGACTATGATGAAAATGATTAATGCATATTACCATTAAATTACAAATGCATAATCGACAATTTGATACCTGCAACAAGAAAATAAAGAAAATAAAATAAAAACATGATTTCATCTTAGTAAAGCAAAATATTAAATAAAGCACTGATGTTACACAATACAGTGAAAAAACACTGCAATCTCTTTCTTTTAATCTATAATTTTATCTACTGATCAATATGATCAGCTCAACTCATGAATAAAAAGAAATAAAAGACTAGCAGTTCCTCACATTTGAGTACTACTCAGATTGGCAGCCTTCAGTTTTTCCGGAGTCTCAAACACAATAAAAATGACTTTTTCTTTTCTTCAGTCTTTAAAACGGGGTTAAATAGCAGCAGAGAGCAGGTTGTTATATGCCAGCCTTCTTTAGACATGCAAGAAAATCTACTATAGCAACTATCAATTGCGTTTAATTCTTCAGGTTCCGCAATATAAAGGCTGTTAAACAGTACTGAGTCTCAAGAAGGTAAGGACTTTCTCCAGAATCTATGCCAACATGGGAATTAAACAGAAATTTTAGCTAGCATCAGTGGGAGATCTGAAGATGCCTTTCACTGCAATGCCATCCAGTTAGTTAAAATATTACAAAAACCTAAAATGGAAAAAAATATAACTTAAATTATGTAAAATAACACTGTTATTATGAAGATGTTCGACACATTTGTTCTCTAAGCACAATAATATATAAAACTGCAACATAACTTGGTAAATCTGAACAATCTTTGCTTGTCATGATTCAGAGTGCTACAATTCTTGACAAAATCTAAGAGGAAGCCATAAAACCATCAGAGGCAATAATGTTTAAAAAAAGTGCAGCCAAAGCTCAACAAGTTTTGATGCGTGTGTAAACAGGGAGGGGATCTTGGAATGGTAGTTGTTGCGAACAGTGACAGCGGTAGCATGTTTTCTTTTACGCCGCTGTGCGATTTCAAGCGACACAGTTTTCCAAAGTGCCAAGGCGTTTTTTTTTCTTCACAGTATTTCACATGCGGGGTACACAAAGCCCCATGCTGCTTTAAGGCAGGGAAGGAGGCAAGTGGCGTCCACCAAACACTAAACAAAGGAGGTCCAGGGCCCCGGTGCCTGGGGTGTGCCTGTTCTGCTCTCCAAACAGGTGGTGCGCACCACTGGAAACGACGTCCAGGAGAGGGGCATCCTTCTCACACTGCAGACACCTGTTCATCTTCTGGGAGAGCAGAAAGAATAAAGCTCAATCATATTTCAGAGCCGAATATTCTTTACAACAATAAATAAAGAGCAGAAGAGTGACTGGACTAAAACGATATAGGAAATAAGAACACCACAGCATAGCACTTTCATTTATACTGAGCATAAAAAAACTCATCACTTCAACAAGTGTTTTGCAACAAATTCACACAAATGAAAAACTGTTTTTATAGCAGGTGTTTTGGCGTTTTAATGAAAAGACATAGCACAATTCATTGTGCTTATTTATACATAAACTTGTATATATATCCACAGAAGATCTACTTTGAATGTCACAGGCTAATAGAAGGTAATACCAATAAATCAGTGACACAATATTTGCACCAGGATACAGATTTGTAATTTAAAATAATTAATTAAATGAAAATAATTTGAATTATTTTCTTGCTAATCTTAACATTGGTCCCTTTTCCACCAAGCTAAATATTCAACCCCTCACCAGACCAGAATCAACTAATTCATGAGGTATATACAACAGTTATGAACAAAAACTTAAATTTAAATACTTGATTTTTAAGTACCCTTTACCCTCAAAAACATTAAATGTCCAAAACCTGCATTATTTTTTCTAAAACCATTCATGCATAAAATGATGTTTCTTTTGATGCTCAGTATATTTTAGGTTTAATACAATGCAATAAGATTTCATATACTTCTAATAAAGCAAAAATGCAAATATTAGTAAAATTTTGGTAATGCATTTAGTGTACAGTTTATATACAATAGCCTTTAATTTAAAAAAAAAAACTGGTTTAAAGACAAAAATATATATAGTACATTTCATCAAGCGCACCGACAGAGAATATTGGCACATTATGTTGATTTGCAACGTCTAGTACAGATACTGTACTGACATTAATCATATTGAAACCTGTGAACAGGTTCTACCACTTCTTTAAACCAATATACTACAAACATATTTATGACAGAAATTAAGATTTTAGGACCTAACAAAGTAGCAAATGAAAATTACAAAAATATTACTTATTGCTAGATATCAAACTAACTGATTTATTGACTGATATATTGACTGATATATTGATACTGATATTGACTGTTCTGCCACCCTATCAGTTCATGCTCACATGCTGTCTCATGTTTAAAGCAAATAAAATAGGAAGAGAAACATTCACTGTTAATGAGCTTTATTTTTACCTAATATTAGCATTTACCTAATATATTACTAAAAGATTTACTAAACTTATAACTTCATACATTAAACAATACATAGTATTGGAAAAAAAATCTTTAATAAAGCTCCCTTGCCATTATCTGTACATTTTTAAGCGTTGTGAATTCCATGCTTAATGTACATTGAAATGAAAGTCAGATGTGCATGTTCAAATAATATGGATAATGTGGTGAAGCAGTGAATACCCAATACCCCAAAATGAGGAAATATGAACACAAACTGGTGGTATCATACCATTTCTGCCAAGTTATAATCAGTCCAGGTGTTGCTGCAGGCAGCTGTGGTACAACTGCAGCTTCTACGATGCATGCATGACGTCTGCAAAAATCCAAAATGCTGTGGACTTTGCTGGTGTTGTTTTGTACCTTGCATGCATATTTCAAAGCAATCCATTTCTGATTAAAGGTTACCTGCCTCTGGCCTGCCTGCAATTCATGGCCTGGTTGTCTCAGGTGTATATGCCACTGTCTTCCTCAGAGGAATAAGTTTTGGAGACATGGACTCACCCTCCTCCTCCTCAGCCGATAGCCCTTGAGACTGGAAGTGAGAGAGCCGTGGGTCTACTTCACTGGGTTTGTTCCATTGTGGTCTGCTGGCTGGCCTGGAGCCTGGCTGAGAGTGTGGCTGTGGGGAGTCACATGAACGTGCCACCATCCGTGACCGCTGCAATGCTACGTTGTAATCAGGGGGCTTCCGACCAGAGTGTGACTGGCCCTCAGTGAAATCAGAAATAGTCAAAGCTGTGTAGCCTGGTGGTGTTGGTGGAGGTTCTCGAAATCTTCCTTCCTTCCGTGCTGCAGAAACCAGAAAAGTTGTCATGATGACAAAGAATGTGCAAACTCATTGTTTACTAGGGAACAACTCTGGCAGGTCTTACCATTTGAGCACTTAGTAGCATGAGAAAGGAGATCAGGTTAATATTCTCAGAATTTTGCTGAACTACTACAACCTGGTTCTTTAGATTATAGAACCTAATTAAAACATTTCTAGTAGATCATAATTCAGCAAAATTATCTGTATTTTGTTTTCATTTTTCAACATTTTTAAGAGGCTCATTAATACCAAAATTACAAAATATGAAAACACCAGAAACCCACTTCATGTTCAACTCAAAGAATCAGTTTTTACACGTTAAGTTTTAAATGATAATACTCTCAAGACATACATGAAGAGACTTTACATAATAATGTAACAAACTCATGTATTGACAGGATAAACCATACAACCACATATTGCTGATAAAGGCAACAGAATCTCAGAGTTACCCAGGAAGCAGATGGCACATACAAGGCTTGACTATATCCAGGACAGGACATAAGGCCATAGAAGACACACTCACAAACACACACATTGACAATTTAGAGCAGGGATGTCAAACTCCACTCTCTTCTGTTTCTTTCCACCGAAGCTTATGATTAAATAGTGGGTATAATTAATAAGCTGCACAATTTTAATATTGTGAAATTTAATAATTGTATGTGTTTTATAGGTAATTTTATTTTAAATTAATATTTTGAATTAGCAATAGTAAAAATTGCCAAAATGTGTCTATGTAGGGAAAAAAAAGGCAAATAGCTTAGCTGACATAAAAATTGAACAAAAAACAGTTGGGCCTTTCTGAACTGAGCTTGTATTAGTATTTATTCTAAATTTTATACCCCACAAAAAAACTGTATATTTATGTGTTTGTAATCAAGATGTGTTTTTATCTATATACTGTATGTTCACAGCACATTTAATGAAAACATATACAGAAAGAATGGGTTTTCTAAAGTTTGATGAAAATAACCATTCTAGCTGCTGATTCACTGCTGTTTGACAATTATTTATATGTTTTTGATACATTAAAAGTTTATGAATGCACTTTTATAATAATTCAAATTATTTATAATGGGTGCTAGATCCGTAAATAACAAGAAGTTGAAGAAAAGTTGAAGGTTGAACACAAAACATGTTAGTACTTGTAATAAAAAAGGATTGTGAGTGCTATCCTTTTAATCTTTTATAGTACATTTTGATACATGGCAAGGGTTTAGTGTCATTCACCCATTTAATATGTGTTCTTTAAAAGTTATCATATCTAAAAGAATTACAGCTTATATTAATTTCTATGTATATACTTTATCTTTGACTTAATTTTAAAATTAAAGATAATTTACAAAGATATGAAAGAAAGTGACATAGGTCATAAATAAAACATTTCATGAAGTGTGCATTCATACATTCATATGTGTACACAATATGCCAAGAACATTATGGTCCACAGTATCATAAAGATATGCTTTCTTTGACAGTGCAAATATGGACCAGATATAAAATCCACCTTATGAAAAAGAAATGTATTCTTAGACAAAAAGGAAAAATACTTTTTCATTGTTCCAAAATTGGCTTTAAAACCTTTTCAATGCTGTGGTATTTGAAAATGTATAAAATGCTGTTTCATATAAAACATCCACATGAAATCTGTTCTGTGTTGAAGATAAAAATACTGAAGCTATAAAGCAAATTTAAGAACCCAGCTGGTGGAAGCTGGTCTAAGACTGTTTCCTCTTAGTAACAAGTTATGACAACAGACTGCTCCTTCTTCTTCACAGCTGCTAACTTCCAAAAGGCACTTTGTGATGTATTCTTATGTAGGAAAACAGACTGTAAGAACAGGGGGTAGGGCAAAAGGAGATGGGTATAGCTATGAATACTGAAAAGTAAAAAAATCAGCTCTTTTCATGACTGACTGTTTAATTTTTTTTTTAAACTACATCATTTCACTTACCAATAAGACCTTTAGCATTGCTGGAGGCCACTGTCATATGAGATGTTCGAGTATGTTGTTTTGAGTCTTCAGACGTAACAGATGTTATACTGCTTGTTTCAGCATCAGCATTTACATCCTTCCCCCCCCTGCGCTTGATTGTTCCAGTGTCCCCCTCAGAGTCCTCTCCCCAGTAGCCAGTGGAAGACGCCCAACTCCCTCTGGTCTGCGCATGCTCCTGACTGGTGCGACTTAGCTTTGAGCCGTGGTCTGGATACATTACTGGATCCATCGGGCAGCCAGAGGCCCAAAGTCCTGCTCCTTCTGGTGAGCTTTCAAAATGTGGATGCCCTAACACCAGCGTTTCCCAGCTCCTTTGGTGCTGTATTGTTTGAATGTTGTCATGGGATCCACTGGAGCAAGATGTCCAGCTTCCTCGACCGCTGTCAGCAGCATCCAGTGAGGCTCGATCGCCCTGGTCCTGGGTCAGCTCCTCAGAACTTGGAGAAGAAAGGACTGTTGGGCCTCCATACAAATTCCGTCCTTCATGCATTGAAGCATATGAACTGAAAGCAAAACATAAAATATTACAAAACAGCATTGGAATAGACAGTCTATTAAATTCTAAATAAGGCAGCTTCTTTCAAGAATTTTATTATTTTCTTAGTTTGAAAAGCCTAACTTCACATAACCAAGCAGACTATTTTATTGTCAGGGAGAAGAGGCATTCATCTTTAGTCATGATTTGCTGAGAGTGAATGAACAAAGAAAGCACTGATAGCCAAGGACTCAACATGCCTGTCGTACGAACTGATTCTTACGTAGCACTGAGGCAGTCTTTGACAAAAAGGCTGGATTAGTCCAAATGAAAACAACCGATCAGCCATTAGTGAAAAGGAGACATACAGGGATACTAACAGAGGCTGTAATTCACAGTCTTCAAGGTCAGAAATCTGAGCTTCTGAGCTCATCTGGGGAAGTACCTTAAAAGAAGGCCATTAATTCTTAAACAGATTCTCAGCTGTTTTGGCCCGGTAATGCACACAAAATACTACCCTACACTTCATACAAGTGTATGAACAGGAAAAGAGAAAACAATGAAAAATGTGTCCCTTACTCTTTATTGGTATAAACTTGAGATTAAACCAACGGTAACAACAAATGCACTTCGTGGTAAATAAGCAGGCTTACCTGAGACTGTACTGATCAGGATCAAGAGTAGCTCTTCGCTCCATTCTCCCTCCTCCTAGATTTGAGTCCACTACACTTACTGAATGCCTCTGTCTTCTGTCATCATGCATCAAGTCAAAGGATGAGTTACTAACAATGCTGGACCGGGAGGAAATTTCACTGTGTCCTGAGTCGGAGAAATTGTCCACAGTCCCACTTGGAGCCAGTGGATAACCTTCAACGCAAACAAGAAAGGCTGGTTAATATTAAAACATGACAAATAAATCCTTTACCACTCCTGAGAGGAGAAGGCAATCCGTTGGGTTCAGTGCTCTTCTTTGCCTTTTGTTTTGCTTTTTTCCAGAGCAGATGGCAAAGATGCTTGTGTAGCTAAAATAAATCTCTCGCCGAGCTGTAGAGTAAGTGTCGTTATAGCAACAAAATAAGATGAATATTCTTGAACTTAAGTCATCAACCAAGGGAATACCTGTTAAGCTGTGGGGGAAAAAAGTATTCAAACTTCAAGAAAACATCTAATTTCCAAAACCTTTCAGTGGTAACACTACAAACAGGATAGTGGGTCACATTTATACAAGTATGCTAAACAAAAACAGCTCAGGTCTTCAAGCATAAAAAGTACAACAGAGGCCCAACACAGATATGTTTGGTCACGGCTTCTTACTCCTGATTGCACAAATACTGAGCATTGTGCATTACTTTCAATGGAACATAACTAGCTTCCCAAGACTTCTCTAAGTGCCAGACATCCCAAAACCGAAACCTGGTGCAAAAGGGTTTAAAGTGACAATCTAGACTGTTATGGGTCATGTGTTCTGTCTACATAGTAAAACCCCACCTATCCCAAAGGTCCGTGTTGCACCATTGTTATTCCTGTTACTGTTCTCACTTCCCAGGGAAGAAGAGGAGCCGGTTAGGTCTGACTGCCTGGAGACGTGAGATGTCAGCTGACTGCCACCTGACAAACAGGACAAGAAAACAGTTTAGGCATAAGCTACAGAGAACAACCCTGCCTTGACGCTAACTGGCATAGCATCTAGACATCCAATTAGAGAAAGCTGAGGATCTAAGTGACGGCTTAGCAACTAGAGCGGGAAAGCTAGCAAACAATTTATCAGCACTTTTCTTTTAAAGACCTGAGCCAGCAAACACTGAAACAAAAAACAAAGGCACCAGTACAGCACAACACAGTGATAATGTACAAATCTACAAAACAAATCAAAGACAATAACAACAAGAAGCATACTTCCCAACTTTAAGACTTAGGAGCTGTGCTACTACATAACACAATGGACAATCCTCATGTATAATCAAATAGGGGCTTAAAGACTGCAATGCTACATTAAATGATCAAAAATGCAATAGCTAACAATGTGTATTAGCTTATAAAATGTATGGGTGTACCAACACATTTAAGTAAAAACTATTAGGTTTCAGGTTAGATACATTCCATAATCTACTGAATTTAATACATTTCAGTAATTCCTGGCAACATGTGAACATTAATTTGTGAATTCAATAATGTCTATAAGCACTCTGTGATCAACTAACCAAGCAACTTTGCCATCTACAACATACCTCCTAGTCAACTAAAGGCACAATGCTTAGCACACAATAAAAATTACCCTTAAATATTTTTGTAATAAGAAATGTAGAATTTCTAACACCTTGACTCCTTTGTGACCCATATCCTGTTATGCAAGGCAAAAAAATCAATTTAGAGAACATTAATACAAAATAAGATTTTAATTTTCAGTCTAAAAATGACTTCAGAAGAATCCAAGGAGACTATACATCCTGTTAAGGACAATTTATGCTCAGACGGGATATCTTGCAAGGTAGGCATTAATTCTGTTTTTCTCTCAATGGCCTTACTTTGAGGAATACCAGTAAAAGTAAAAAAACAATTTAAAGTGAATCTAGAAAACACAGTGAGCATACAGTTACACTTTGCTGCTCCCCCATGTCTGAAAGACTGCTATAACCAGTGCAGGGAAAAGATGCAGAGTGCACTTCTGTATCTTTTACAGGTATTCACAAAATCATGGAGACAGGATAAAATTCACATCACTTGTGATTAAAGAGGTTTTATGTAAAATAATATAAATCCACACTGGCTTTCAACACATGCTTTATGCATACTTTAAAAATGTAAAGGCTATTCCTAAAATGACAAATTCAAAAACATTAACAAAATAAAATTGAATCAACAAAGAAACTATCCCACCGGCTTCTGTGGGAAGTTACTGAAAGTTGCACAAATGCATACACCACTGTAGCTACAGAACAATGCAAAAGTATTCACTCCCTTCCAAAGATGTCTTATTTAATTGAATTACAAATGGTGTGTACACATAAACTAATAATGTGGGTAAAATGTCAGCAACTAAAACATGTTAATTGCATAAGCATTCAACCCCTTTGTTATGCCACTTTGAAAGCTAAGGTGGTCCCTTTCAACAACAAAAAAACATTAGTTCAGTTTTTTCCTATTTAAAAGTAGGGAACCTGTGTCATTTAGACAAGCAGGCCTATAAGTAGTGTATCATTTACAAGTAGGCCTAAAAACATTAAAAACAAATAACTTCCCCCCAAAAATCTGAAACCTCTCAGGTTTCCCTATTTATGACAACATATAAATATAGCAGGTTTTCAACGAGATAAAAACGAAAAGCAGCAGGTTACAGGAGAAGCAGAAGTGCAGAGTGACAGATAAAACATGTGTTACCTGACAAGCTTTGAAGGTAACTAAAACACCTACAATCAATCCCTCAAGATGGTGAAACTGCATGTAATAAACTAGCTTTTAGTGTGCACAACAATGAATCCTCTGCCAGTTGTTTCTAAGCTGTATATTTATTTATAAACCTTGCTTTAAACAAAATGCATTTGAAATTGAACAGGAGTTATATTGCCCAGAAGTTATTTTCTCTGAATTGTATGTTCCAGTGTGTTCTGAACTATAACTACACTATTTTCATAACATAACTGCAGTTAAACAGATAGTCTAGACATTTTTTAGAAATGTGCAGAACCCAGCACTTTTAAGGAACCGAAAGAAAATACATATCTTAAAAACAACGAATATGTATGACAATATGTGCACGAATGTAAATTCAGGTTAATGCAGTCTAGCAAAGTTAGATTTGAAATTAAAAAGTGAACTGGAAGGAAATGACATGCTTTCAAATGCCTGGCAACAGAGTACAGTATATTGACTGCTGATATGATAAATTTATGCCAAGGACAGTTTTCTCCATACATTTTTGGTCCGACTGTCCACAAATCCATGAGAGGACCCTTACCTTTTCGGGGGGAGCTCTGCGGGGAGGTGGGAGGGGAAGACAGCTGGGAAGAAGCATTTGATATGGTGTCATCCGTTGGCCTTTTATGCTTTTCACTTGCTTCTTCTGACAAGGCCAGGATTTTCTTCAAGGCTTGAGGCGAACTTGTACCTTCCATGAAAAAAAATGGTATTATTTATCTGCTACGCGATCTGAAACAAAAATGTACAAGCACCTATAATTAAAAAAAAATCATGCATTATTTAATGGATGCTTGAAATATGTTTAAATTCCATACATTTAATTGTTAAGTTGCTTTACCACTGCAAAAATGATAAACAATTAATATTTTTGATAACATATTTAGGATGTTTTACTTTTAGTTTTGTGCACTTTTTATTTGATATCTGAGTAAAGAACACACATGAAGAAGTGTGGAGCTATATTTTAGATGAACATTAGTCCTATTGGTTGTCACTGCAACTGAAGTGCAGAAATAAATATTGTTTTATTATTAATTTAGAACCCACCCCAAACTTTTATTTACATTTATAGGCTCACAGCTCACAACGGCACCTCTTGCATTTGTAAAAAAAAAGCAGCCAATGCTGAATAACAGTCTGATTCACTTAGGCAGCATGTCTTTGGGATGTGAGAGGAAACCAGAGCACCCACAGAAAAAAACATGGACATGAATAAAATCATGAAAGCTGAAAAAAAAATGATCCCCAAACCAAGATCAAATGACTGTGAGGCAGTGCTGCCACACCTTGTTTTTCAATTTCTAACTTATACATATGGCAAATTCTGTAATGTGTTGTATTACAGGTAGAAAAAGGTGCAATTCCCCATCAGTAACACTACACAGAGGCGCTCATGGAGACCTCCTAAGACGCAGGCTAAAGTGAACCCATCCAACTTACAATGGTACAGGCCTGATATACTCCAGTCTTTAGGTTTGTCATTGACTAATGACTTATAATGCAGATTTGAAAAAGAAAACAATTGGACTAGTAGGTTTAACCTTCATGACCTTTTACCACATGAGCTATTTTTCGGCATCTGAGGGAAAATATTTTATTCCAATATTTTGGCCAAGATAGCACAGAAATACTAATCAGATGTTAAAGCTAAAATTGCTTAGTTGCCGCAGATAACTGTAAATTGCAAAAATAAATAAGCTGAACTAGTTCTCTTCTTAATGGCTGGGAGAGTCACTTGTAAACTAATTAAGAAAAAGACACAAAACTGCTTCCTTACCAAATGGGGGCAAATCTTTGACAGGTACTTTCTTCCGAGATGGATAGAGAGATACAGCTGGAACCTGCAGAGCCTGGCTTCCTTTCTGCTGTTGCTGCTGTTTCTGCTGACTTGCTGCTCGAGGAACCACAGGCGATGTGTCAGGCTTCCCACTCTTCTTATCTCCAGTGTTCTTAGGCACTGTCATATACATTTATCTTCATTAAACCAAGCTAAAGCAACCCAAAGGGCCAGCAGTGTATGAACCCTGTGTTTTGTAAATATATAATGGGTGAAAGCACTAATTCGTCCTTACACAAATTCACAGGTATTCAAGATTAAGTGATAATTGAACAACACAGTCAAAACACTGTATCACAGCCGGGAGCTGGAGGACTGCTACTTTCATAGGTGGCACTTACCCCTACAGGTTCACAAAAGAGGTGCATGTCTGATTTCTGTGGTATAAATACAAATTTAATCATCATTTTAGCAGTAAATTTAACAACTGATTCTATTTAGTGAAAGTCACCCTTAATACCCTCAGCCACATCTGACACTGCAGGAAACATAAACCTATATTCTATAAGCCATGCTTATAAGAGATAATAAAAGGCTCACGTGTGTTTGTAGAGGGCTCACACTGCAGGGAAATTGTTTGGAGAGTTTCTTCATTGGTGTCTAGTGTCAAATTAGCCAGGTACTGCTTCACCTTCCGTGCCATCTGGGCATCCTCGTACAACTTCTTGGCGTTGAGGAAGGAGCTGCGGCGTACTCGCTTCTTGTGCCCGCCAGACTGTACCACATCCAGCACAGCCGCATTCGCACTCCCCTGGCTCAATGACCTGGGCAGAGGAAAGAAAAGACAAAGGCGCTGAAGTACGCTCTATTGACCAAGAGTGCAAGGTGGTAAAGCGTGGTTCAGATGTAAACATGCACCAAGTCGCATTGAATTCAGCTCACAACATTCCATGCGTCATTCCAGGAAACAGTACAATAAAAGTCATGGGACAGGAAAGGAAGAGAGGGGCATTTCTTCCTTCTTGGGAAATTCACAGAAAATTGGTCATTATCGATGTAGTCTGATTCCTCCAACCTGGCAGTCCCATGGCTAACTACTAAAGGAGCATTTCTGCCAGGGGTTGTTAGAAGGCATATAGCTACATAAGCTCGAGCAGAACTGAAAGCTCATGCAGCCAGAGACTGTTACAATAAAGCTGTTTCCCAAGCTCACATTACCAATTAGATTTTAAGAGCGTGTATATAGAATATAAATACTAACACCATGAGGGTGTTTGCTTATATACTTGTTTATAAGGGAAGTCAAGAAGGGTAACCCTTCACTGAGTTTTCAAAAGTTGTGAGAGAAATTCCCACTCTGGGAATAGAGGTCTGTTTATATTACAAATGGAAAATATCTCATTTTTGTTGCAACAGTGGTAGGCGTTGGAAAAGAAAAAAAATATCATGCTTTTCTATAATTACTGACATTTCAGTGTCGTTCTTAGGCAACCCCCACCCACCCACAAAAGGATAAAACAAGAAAATTGAACATCACTTTTGCTAGTTAATTAATGGGGTTAGGACTTGCAAAAAGAAAAATGGATCTTTTCGAACATGGAGAGTTAAGAGGTGTCTGTAATGTTAACCTGGTAATACACAAACATTTCTAATACAATGCAAAGCTTTAAATAGTATTAGTAAATCAACTGATATTTCTAGTACAAAAACAAGTCCCCTGTTTTAGTAAAATCAAATGAGCAGCAAAGTTGGAGGTTAGTGTTTCTGGATGCACTGGATTTCAGTTAAATGGAGCTATTCATTATTAATATATGACATTTAAATTTAATTGAATTAATAAACAGTAATTGAATTTCCAACTACATGACCCAGCAATAAGCTTTTAACGCTTCCGGGATGCAAAAGGTTTCCAAGAACCTTAAGTAGCAAAAGTGACAATTTCACTTTGTCTTCACATAACCTGACTACCACGTTTGCATGAGCTGAAGCGTTATACATGAAAATAAAAGCAGCAAAAAGCATCAGAAGAAATTTAAAAGATGCAGACGAAGAAAAATGCAAATGGGCAGAACAGCATGGCATCAGAGGGAAACCAGTCACCACACTTACCCAAGACTCCTCCATTTCTTCTTCCTGTAAGTGAGAGCCATGAACAGTGAAGCATGGGTATAGGAAGAAAGACAGAAAGAGAGACAAGCTTAGACAGGAAAGACCAGAATCCAAGATGAGCAGTACCAGAGGCCCATGGACATATACATAAAGCCTAGACATAAGTCACAATATTCAAGCATGGAACACAGACTCCAAGAGGCCACAGCACTTTCAACCCAAAGCAATGGAATATACTAGGAGGCTTAATTGGCAGGAACACCAATGCAAAATAGACCACCACCAAGCGAGAGATTGCCGCTTTTGCCCGCATAAAGCAATAATACTCAGTAAAGCTTTCAAAAATACTTGTCAGCGGTAAAATGGTCACACCTAAAAGAAGAAAGTTTTGTTTGAATCCAGGTGGGCGTTTCACAAAAGCTTAAATATTAAAAGAAAAGCAGAGGATACACAAACGTTAATAGTTGAAGTCTTCTTATCTGATCTAAATTCTAAGTTTGATTGCAAGTAAGCTGCTCAAAAAACAATCCAATATTCCACTTTTTTTTAGCAGTGTAATAAAGCATGTGTACTAAATCCTCTAGTTTACAATGAAAATTGAAAACTGTCAACAACCAAAATGCAAATTACTGTTAACTGTGGTGCTAAACAATTTGTAGTATCAGAGAATCATAAATGTCAACCAAAAGAGTGCAGAGACAGCAAAAAAAAATACCTTAAACTTAACATAAGTGCAGCAATCAACTTTTTGAATGACCAAACGCATACCTTGTTCTGAACATTAGCGCAGGATCCATATTCACAGAAGCCATGCGTCCAACATGTCTTATTTCCTTTGCAATCATTCTTAACTTTTCAAAATTCACCAAACCATCCACTTTTGAGTCATTGCCTGAAAGAGGATTAAGACATTTGCCATGAACACACAAAAATTAGCAATTCTAAAAATGTATTAAGTTGAAGTTTCACACGCTACCTTTGATTTTGGAGTTGTCAAGCTGATATCACTGATTTTAAAACAGATCAGTCAAGCAATAAAGACTGGAAATAACTGACTCTAATGTGCCAGTTTTGGTGGTATTTTTCCAATATTGTTGCTTAAAAAAAAAGCTGATTAAATTAATACCTTTGAAATGTCTGATTAAAATTGAACTTTCATTTCTGCTGTAAAGAACTGATAGGCATTTTACCTTCATGAAGAAAAGTGAGATCCTTCTTTATAACTGGGAAGAGAGGAATAATGGGAGGCTGCAGATTCTGACTGTTGAGGACATTACGATACTTGGCCATATTTCTTGAGGGATCAAAGAGGTCTTGAAGATCTTGAAACAGCTTCTCATATTTGCTGGGAAGCTTCTCCCAGGTACCACGCAGTCTTGATACTGGGGCCAGGTTTAGTCCACTATGGTACAAAGCAAATCACATCACAATTAAAGTAATTCTGTAACGTCCACTTGTAGAATTTGACTTAAATGAAAAGTAGGTTCCACTTTGGTACATCTAAATCTTGGCATGTCTTTTACTAGATAGACTATGTAATTACTACAATTTTTTATACTTAGATGGAGCAAGTAATAAGCAAGTCTACTGGAAATTTACACCGTGAGAGACTATATCTGGATAACCCAAAAAATAAGACTGACTTTTGGTTGGTGCAAGTAATTTCAAGTAGTTATTCCATTACCTAATGATTGCAAACATAGAATTGAAGTTCTTGCACTCTCGGCAGTGCAGGGCAATCTTGATGAAATGCTTGATAATTTTCATCCTCTTAATCTGGTTCTGCTCGCGCACAATCTCTGAAGCAACCCAGAATGTCTCCTGGTTGATCACTTCTTCAAACTTTTTCAGGTTGGCTGAACCGGTTCTGGACTTCAGCTTGAAAAGATCATCAATATACTCGGTGGGCTCAATGTTACAGAACAGCTCAAAGTTTCTCATTGAAAGCTGGGTGGCAACTTCCACTGTGCTTAACTGCAACAGGTGGATCTGACTCTCCCTCAGCAGGTCCTGGGCATCCTCATCCGAGCACAGTGTCTCTGTCTCCATATTGTTTTTCAAGTAATACCTAAAATAAAAAGTACAAAACTGACAAAAGTTCTTTTTCACGGTCTTCTGTCAATTTCAAGCACACAATGAGGAACAAAATTCTTGAAAGAGTTAAAGTACTAGTAACATCCTGTACATGTTAAAAAAGGACTGCTGCAAAACTAGCTCATTGTCATTCCCATTGTATTCCACTAGATGGCAGTCTTATCATTTGCTATGAAGCTTAAGGAGGCAAAATACCCAAATATATGTATTAAACTAAAACAAATACAAACCATCGATGTATATGATTAGATGTTTTTCTATTTTCACTTACAAATATGTAACTATTCTCAATAATAACAGCTTCATTACTAAATGATGTCATTATTAAATTTGTGCATTTTAGAATTTTGGGTATGGCAACACATTTTTGCCACTTGTTAGATGACAGTCATTTACTTTGACGAAACACTTCAGTAAACAATTTTCTAACAAAAATCTTACTTTGACATCCCTAGTTACCCATCACTGTAATGCCTTTTCTGTACAGCTTTTAAAATGGCTTCATGATTATGTATGAATTTCAATAAACTCAAAAAAGACTTTCACGTTTTCCTGAAGAGAAAAGATAATACTCCAGTTGACTACAGAAGCAAAACAAATATGAGGATTTTGCTCTCTAACATTGGCAAGTTAATTCTTTTCCTAGATACTAATATATTACATCTTTAGGTCTTTGCTCTTTTTACAGTTATGCCCAAAAATGATTCAGTCCCAAAAAAGACTGACAAAAAGGTCCACATCCACCTAGAAACTGACGATCCCAAACAATCCAGTACTTCTTGTAATGCTGCCTTGTAGTGAACAGAAATTCTGCTTTTGAATTCACAGGGTCCCCCACCTGCCACTGAGCTGTATTCTGTCTGCCAGCTTTGAGAGCTGATCTGGGAGCCGCCGCTGTTTGATGACACCTTCTGGAGTGACGGAGACTTCGCACAGGGAATAAGCCTCAGGAGCGGCTGTCAGAGCAAACTCCCGGATAGCCTGGATAACCACTTCCTTGGCTGTGGTGTCCTTGCTGATCATGATGTAACGGCTCTGCTGATCAGCCTTGAAAACGCGCAGAACCTGATCTGGCAAATCTTAAAAGTCAAAACGGCATAAATTAATTCAAGTGAAAAGGAGAAAAAAACAGATGATCATATCAAGCAAGCATTTTGGATGGCAAGTTAGGAGTCCATGCTAAATCTCAATTAGTCCCCATTTACCATGTTCCTCAAAGTATTAAAGAAAGGTCTGAAAGACTGAGAGAGAAAAAACAACTTATTTTAAGTCGTATAGGATTCTGTATTTTGGCACAATACAGAAATATTTTTTATCTAAAACACTACTGGTAAGAATTAATTATTGTACTGTAAGTAGTCTAACATGAACATCAGAGACTCTATTACCACTAAAGAAATAATAAGAAATTAAATGTCACTCTTGCTTTTCTAAATCTTAAATCTTTATTTTCTTTCTTCAGTTATTAGGGTTTAAAACTTAACCAATCTCTCCTCTCCACTGAAAGATTGCTGACATTTGTTACTCGGTAAAAATCACTGTGCCAAAACACAATCATGCTGTTTTTAAAATGCTTTTTAGCAGAGCAAAAATTCTAAAGAGTAAGGATAAAAGATCAAAGGTTTCTAAAATGCTGTTCTCTTCTTGAGAAATGTACAGTTCTGTAACTCAGGCAACTCTGAAATGTTCAAAGATTCGACAGTTATGATGTAAAGCTAATGAATCACCACAAAAAAACATCTTAGAGAATTTTTATTGGGATTCATTAGGTACTGAAAAGAAATTCAACTAAAGAATTGAGTAATTTATATGAACACATTCCTACATTCAAGAAGAAATGGTGGCCTCTTCAAACCTAAATGAAAATATATATTTTCAAATTTATTTTGGGTCTTAACCATAATAGGTATAAATTGAAACCCAAAGCAGTACTACATAAAAATTGTGGAGGACTACAAAAAGCCTACACTTAATAACACAAGGAGTAATTTATTGCTCTCTAAAAGAAAACCTTTTCTGTATAAACAGGTCACGTCATGCTAAAGTACTGAGGAGACAAAATTTTAACTTTTAATGATGTTTCGAAATGTTCAATCTAAAGAACATTTAATGAAAGAAAAGAAACATATTAAGAAAACTTACAACATTATCAAACTTTTCTTACTACATTGCAATTGTGCATGTTTCATTGTAATTCACAAAAGAGGCATTGGCATCTGTAATTTGATAACAAAAATGTACACATATTCTAAAGTATTTTTAATTATATTTTAAACTTTTATTTAAAAAAAATAAAATAAAATTTAGAAAGGTAAATTCTACCAGAGATTAGGTATGTTTTAGACCAGTGTAAACATATTAACTGAATGACACTTATTTGCTGTTGAAGGCTGCTATTAAGCATTACCAAATAAATATTAAATACGGTTTTATTACCTTGCATAATATCTCTGGTAAGGTTAACAGTTAGGAAATTACTTGCACTCATCTTACAAAGTATTAGCTGGTGATAAATATAACAAGTCAAAGACCAGACTTTAAATTTAAAAAAATGTGACAAGAAGTGAACAGCATTTAAAAAGCCCATGGAAAAATCTAGGAATAAATCTCCCATTTCATGTTGCCTTAGAGTTGCATGAAGCTCTTGTCACCTCCAAAGTGAAAAGAAGTTAGGTATTTATCAGCAGACAAATTACAAAGTAAAGCAAGCCCCAAAAAAGAGGTTCCACAGTGAGCTGAAGAAGGTTCAAGCAAAGGGCAGTTTTCATAAACAAAGTTCAGATACTCACTATAAATGCATGTGGCTGAAAGAGGAGAAAGATACATATTTAAGGAATGAACAACTAGTAATTAAACGTAGACTCCTAATCATAGCATTCATAATATTCTGTATATTTCACTTTTGGTTTGTTGGTATTTTCAAATTTACAAGAATCATTGGTATTTTCAAATTAAAGGTTCTCCTATTCCCTCCACAAGCAGTAGTATCTCACAAAAAAACCTCTTCTGAAAACAAAGCAAAACAGAACAGCCAGAGCTGTAGTACTTTCTGTCTTACACTGCTGCATTACTTAGCTGTAAATTTTGGAAGATAACAATCATACACATTTAAACATTCATAAGTAAGGGTACTTCCATACTGAAAAGTGAAAGTAAAAAAAAATTGAAGAAGGTTCAACAGACTAATTTCAGAATTAACCTCAACTTCTTCTTTTGGATCCTTTCAACATTTAAACAGCTGTCCACAGTGCATATTCATATACCCAAGAGATCCCCCAATCCTGGTGCTGGAGGGCCAGTGTGTATACCGGTTTTTAGTCCAGCTGGGCTTGTAATGACTTAAATTAGCTTATGATTGTCTTCACTGGATAAGTTTAACAGCTTCTCCCTCTTCAGATGCTGGCACTAAATTTAACTAGACCTAGAAAACCTGTCCTCCAGAACCAGGAATGGGTATCCCTAATATACACAAATGTTCTCAAGTACCACACTGTTGCTTCCTTTACGTAACTGCCCATATTCGTAAGTACATTTATATATGTAAAGTAGTAGAAAAAGACATTGAAAAATGACTCTTTATTTCACAGTTTCATCTTATACTGTATATATCCTATAAATGCAGCAATGGAAGTGTTTAATAAAAAAACATACAATCTCATATCTTTAAAGTGCCGTGTACATCTTGCTCAAGCTTTTTACTTCAATAATTTAAGCATACAAAATCAACAAAAAAGTCATTTAATCCAGACGTAGAGTATCAGTTAATATTCCAACATAAAGTGTGTTAAAGAATTGTCATCAATATTTTCACTTTTTCCTTTAAAAAAAAGAACATAAGAAAATACACAACCATGTTTTTAAAAATAAACTACAATATTAGAGACGTGAAATTTTAAAAACACTCTAAAGGCATATTAGAAGCGTTTAAACATGATCATTCTCTCTCTTACCAGGAGGATTGTTGAAGTCCAGAATGCGATGGTGAGACTGCAGTAGATCTGGGTTGCTGGAGGATAATGTCCCACTGACGGGTAGTGCAGGTGGGATTTGCTTGGATTGCCTGAGCCCCACAATACTATCATCCTGAGACTGGCCAATTCCAATGTCACTAGAGAAGACAGAATGCATGGTCAATAGTGCCTTAAGGCAATTGTTATAAGGAAATACCACAATACATTATACACTCTATGGATTGGACACATTTAGGTAAAATAGAAGCATCCAAGTTTGGACAATAAGTTATTTATATTAAAATTAAACTGGATTAGCCTTCATATTAAGAATACTTACTTCTGTTTATTTAGAAAACTGCATATCTAAGCATACATATTTATTAAATATTAACCAATTTTTGTTTTAAATAATGTTACTCTTTTTACTTTGTAATTTAATAAACATTTGATGAATAACAATGACTGTTATTCAACTGTTCCAACTTTTACCTAGTCATGCAAATAATTGAACACATTAAGAAGACCAACAGGCCAGATCATCCTTAGTGACCTGCAGTTAAGCTCTGTGACCTCGAGTTGTAATATCTACTGACTGCCAATATTCTTTTTTGTTCTTCCTTTCATTGTGTCCCAATGAGTACGTGTTCCACAGGGAACTTTGGTTAAAAAAAGACGAACTGTCATGAGAAGCTGAAATTTCACACAGTTAAAAGAGTTATATAGTATTCTCCGACCCTTCAAATCCTAATGCCAGCATCACAAAATAATTTGCAGTGTGAAAGAAGTGACAGGGAACGCAAATTGCTGTTTACTGGAAAAAAAACTAGCTCTGTCAGACTTGGTTCAACTCGTATCTAAACAGTCCTGAACAGGGATTTGCAAAATTTTAAATGAGGGAAAAAGAACAAAAAACGTAAAAAATGTTCAAGTTTAATACAAGGTTTAACCGTACCACCAAACTTTATGTGTTACGTAATATATGTACAGATAGCATGCTTTACTTCTATCATGTTTAATAGCCAGATGATTTAACAGCACTGAAATTCTGGAGTATTGTGATTATGAATTACATAATTTTCATGAAAGCTGTGTTTTGAAATATGCACATTTGCTGAAGGATTATGTTTATAAAAATTATATTTATAACCAAAATTCTCTCATTCACTCATTTAAGATGTTTAGTTTAGCTTTCTTGAAAAGTTGTAATCAGACTCACAGAGAGAAATGAAAATGTTAATCTCTAAGCAGGAAAAGAGCATACACTTGTATACTCACTTGTATGGTTTTTGTGGTAGAATACTTATACGAGTCTTGTCAAGTATTTTCTTTAGCTTGTTCCTTCCACCAACAGTATTGGCTTTTGTCTTCTTGTTGGCTTTTTCAAGGCCCATGACCTGTTCAACATCTACTGCCAGGTCAGGGATGGAGTAGCGACTAGCTTTCTTGATGTCACCAATCTTGGGCAGATGTGGCGCTCCATTTTTCTTCTCTTCTGCTGGCCTTGCAAGAAGCTCTTTAAATACTATCATGAAAGAAATATATTAGTTTAAAACAAATCTTGAAGACGTGGATGTGATACTCATAAATGAATCATTTAATCCTTACAATCATTAATCTGTTTCTGATATGAGCAGATACTCCTTTAGTGCACCGATTGCTTCAGTAAAATTGAAAAAAAAAAGAAAAGCTATGAAGCCAGCTGTTTTAGTGGCACTCTTATCCACTAAGTTCTAAGTTGCAAAGCCAAAGATTATGTCCTTCTGCTATAATGAGCATCAAAAGACACATATCTCTTCCAACTGTAACAAATTAAAGTTTTTATGGAAAATCACAGCTTTTGTGGATGGAGTGCAGAACTTTATATTAAACACGCATGACACAGGTAAATACTTTCAAATCAACAGGGCTGTTCAACTCTGGGATCATTCGTAAAACACAAAGGCTATCAGTGTGTGTGGCCAGTGCTGGAAGCAATACAAACTCTGTATCTGTAAGGCATGCAATGCACCAGGTTGGATATTCTGTATTGTGGGATGCTATCCCATTTCTCTTTTACTGGAAAAATATCTCTCTCTTTACTGGTCTAGGAACCCTAGATGGCACTCATCATCCCGGCTTCTCTCTCTCAAATGTTCAATGGGACTCAAGTGTGATGAGTAGGGCATCCATAGCATAAGTGAGCAGCACAGGAGTTGTCCCACTGGAACTTTGTCATTTCAGGATGAAACACGCAGGAAGCACAGCAAATTCATCCCTATAAATGGTGTTCTGAAGTTACAAAACATTCCTACACAGACCATCACAATTAAACTGCCCAATTGACTGATCTGTTGTACACAATAATTGGTGTGTTATTCTCCACATCTGTACCACACTTTATGACTTAAACATTTTATTTAGAATAAATACATTTATAATGCTTTGTACATCTTATTTGTAATAAAAAAATATTTTAATCATAATTGCCCAATTTAAAATAGTTAATTTTGTGTTTTAATTTTCTCTTAGCAATACCTGTGACCGCACATGGCAGAATGAGTAATTCCAGGGAGATTCCTCCAACTTGCCATACTAAAAACATGTAAAGTTCTCTCCATTCACCATGCCCTCTCTTCTCATGTATTAGCATGGTTAGGATCCCTTATCGCTTCTACAACTTCTTATATTGCACAGGCTTAACATCTACCTCCTCTCTTGCCAGAAATATCTTCAAACAGCTTTTCAACCATCTCAGAATCACATTCAGATCAATCCTTTTCAGATTCAGCTTATTCTACTTCCCTTCCTTTCCCTTCACTGAATCATGATGTAGGTATTCTTTGATTGCCATTTCTTCCTAACTTTGCTGACAACCTTGCTATTTTCTTTGTTCCCTCCTAGTACTCGTAACACTACTCTTTCCTGACAAGCCTTAGACGTTTTCTAAACATCTACTGGACACATCCTTCATTTACATCATATTCGAATTCTTACATTGCATTACTCTTACTGCACTTTGTCAGAAGGACACCCTCTAATGCTATTTACCTTGTGTTCTCTAACTTAACAACCACTACCTCCTTACCAACCACTCTCCTTCAATCTCGGCTTATACCACATCCTATCCTGCCTGTGCAAGCAGCCTTTCGGTTAGCTAGCTGTCCACTGTTACCTTCTCTTTCCTCTTCTATCAGTCATGCCTGTTCTTTCTGGCACCTTCGTGGTAAAACCTCCTACTCAAGGATGTCAGGACTGCAGCCATGTTTTTTTAGCACATTTGTCAAATACCATTTTTTCAGATTCCAGTTTTTGTTTCAACTTCTTAACTGGACATCACAATTTATTTTAATTCGATCAGTGCATCATTAACTTGAATTTTTATTTACATTAGCATTTATCTTATACCTTCTTCTTCTTATACCTTATATTGTAAAATAATTTTGAGTTTAACAGATTAAAGTACAAAATAACTTCACTTATTACAATATGTAGTTCTAATTCACACAATTCTGTAAAGTTGTGACTTAATTGTACTAGCTGTGATTATTCTGTGTAAACTCCCTTACATGTATTAAGACACATCTTGATTCAGCATAAATGGTCAAAATGGACACAAAACAATGGTTACTTATTAAGAACTGAAAATTACACAGTATATCAATATATACTGATTAATTACAAGCATATAAATGCAAAAGACAACCATCTGTATAGAAGTAAAACATAGTCAGAATGATACCCAAGAACATTTTAAACGATATAAATTTACCTAATAAGTTTGTTTTCACAGTGATTGACAAATGAGTGTTGTTCTTCAAGATTTCAGTGGCTTTGGAAAGTGGAACATTCTCAAAGTTTTGGCCATTCACTTCTAATATCTGAAAGTAAATAAACAGCATATAATATTTTATTATTGTATTTATTATATAAATTATATATTATTATATTCTATTATTTCTAGGTATGTGACATTTTAGGTCAGAAAATGCACACTTTCACATGCAGCTAATTGACATGATAACTGAAAGCTACAAACATGGCCCTAATGATAAGTTCAAAGAGTTCATATGATTTTAAATCTAATAATGGCATTTCTTTGAGATATTTATTAGAACCACACATGTGCTGAGATTAAGCTCAACTTCAGGAAAGTAGGTTTACATAAAATAGCAATAATTCATTAACAGGATGTGAATACTTAAGTGTCATATATCTTCAAGAAAGTGTAACACATTCAATCTCAGGAAAACCTCTGAGTAAAAGAGTAATGTACAGGTTTTGTTACTTGATTAATTCTAACTCCTATTTTAATTAATTAAAGACTAGCATTGGATTTGCAAAAACTGCTACTTCCCTGGGTACCAAGTACTTTATAAGTAATTAATCACAGATGGCAAGATCTCATGAAGAAGTGCAAACCACAGCATACCTGATCACCTCGCTTTAACCCTGTTTCAGCTGCTTTGCTGCCTGCTTCCACACTGTCTATGAAGATTCTAAAGCCTTTCTCTGAGCCTCCAAGGAGTGTAAAGGGCAATGGAGCTTCCCTGGAGGGTTTGGTTAGTGTAACTAGTCTGAGTTTGGCCTTAGCAGCACAGGCAATATTTAACAGTCGTAGGTGCCCACACATTTTCTGCAAAAGAAAAAGGGAAATGTAAGATTTGGTTCAGAATCTCGGAAACATAAACTTGTATGATCTACGACAGTGTATAATGTTTTTTTGGACAGGTACTATTTCTCCACTTATTTTTTTCTCTTGAGTCGATAAAATGTAAAATATTTTGCAGCATTGTATAATATGCAGTCAAGTTTGCAGGGATTATTTTTTTCAAATGCAGTTTAAAAATCACATGTATGACCCAAACCTCCAAACCTTTCCTAAACCATTTTAAAAAAGCCATTCTTGCCCCAAAGACTAATATTTTGTAATAATTCCATTATTTAAGCAGGAGCTTTAATATTGTAAATACCCAAAATAAATCTTAAAATTCAACGGGTTAAATGTTCATCAATAAAACACCATTGTTCTATTGACTAACATTCAATCATTGACTTAAATTTGATTACAACTAAAAGCTACAGTAGCTTGATGGATCAGAAACATTGACCGAAAACAAAATAGAAATTCCATTTCAATAGTTTTTATGACTTGAACCTACCTCTCGCTCCAAATTGTTTTCAAATTCTTCAAGAAAGTGGGTCATTTCAGGGTCTCCTTCAAAATCATTGAAGTGATTGTTCACCCACAGCAACACTACCCGTGTAACCTTGAAGATAATATTTTGCTTAGTCAGAAAAAACAAAGAAAACAACTTCAATAATTAGGAATAATTCTTCCATTTGAGGTCACTGACCTTCTCTTCCAGGCACAGTTGCCCAGACCTACAGAGTGAATGGACAGCTGTACTTTACCTTGTCCCTGAGGCTGGGGTCATTGAACCACTCCAGAAGCTTCTTGCCTACAATCATAGGGCTAGAGAGGAAAGTCCTGTAGGTCAGCAGAAAATCTTCAATGAACGTAGGGTCCACCACAGAGTGCTCTTCAACTAGATGCATTGTCAGTCGTTCAGTTGTACCCTGAGGAGTTAAAGGAAAGAAAGTTGATTAAATTGAGGACCTGCACTGAAAATAACATATAGGATAAACTGACAGGAAGATCCTGTGACTGCCTGAGCACGCTCAAAATAAGACATGAAATGAAGAATTAGCAACTACTTATGTTAATTATCTTTAACACTAAGTGTACATACTGTAAGAATGGATGTCAAGTTTCACATCAAAGGCTTAAAAAAGGAATAATTTAAAACATACATAATAGATTGTTGGAATCAGGCCAGCATACCTGTTTCTCTGCTTTTAAAAACACTATTGCTGTACTTAATGCCACTCCTAAAAATGTTTCCTATATTTGTTTCCAGAGCAAGCCGACAATAAACAGAAAAGCAACTAAAAATATCTAGAAAAAAGACAAGAGTCACGTCTCCTTTCTTGGAATCATTCCACTAAACAGAAATACACAGGGGAATTTAAATGATTTTTACAGATTTCACCTCTTTCAAATACAAAAGAATGCAAAAAGTATTTGTACTCTCCCAACCTAGGATGCATTGTATTGTATTCTGTGAATGTGTTAGGTTTCTAAGACAGAATAGACTGCAATATATTGGATTATTTTCCAGTTAGAATATATGAGAATATTTACCCACTTCTTCTGCTAAAAATCAGGTTAACCCATTATGAAAAAACACAAATGATCTCAGGACATTTCACTTTTGACTTCAGTGAAATGCAAATCTTTACTAAAATACTTTTATAAACATCTTATGTAGTGGACACAAGGTCTGTGCTAAAGACATTTTATGTGAATCAAATGGTTATATTGTCATCATGTAGGAGGCAAGGCTCTCATAATAGAGGTGATTTTGACAGAATAATTCATACATAGATTTTTTCTGATGAAGATATTGCTGAGGCAGATATTAAGGCAGAAGAGGAGACAGGGTGTTCAGGTGATTACATGAAAACAGACTGAGCACAGCCTTGCCCATTGTATGCCAAAAGTAACATGCATGATATTTTGTTTTATTGTGTAGGTTTTGTCACTTGTTTTTACTGTAATAACCTGAATTAATATGTATCCCAAACTGAAATCTGAAGTCACCTAAATTCTACATTTCAGACAACAAAGCATTTGTTGATATAGCAAGTTATTCAACTAAGTTCTTTGTAAACATGTAGACTTTCTATTTTTTTACAAGTTGCTATACCTTCAGTTTGTACCAAAAAAGCCAAACCCAAGGGCATAAACATGTTTGGTCTTCCCAAGCTGGTTTTGTATTGGATTGCGAGGTGTACTTCAAAAGCCCTGACATATGATTAGGATTTGGAACATCAGCAGTCCTGCTTCAGGCTGAACATGCTCTCAGGGGTTTCATAGCTCTTTTTGACAGGCACCTCACATTAGTGATCTTAATAATTCAATAAGAAATAAGGACAGTAAGGAAATTAGAAATATTAAAAGATTGTTGGATAGCCGACGACAAAATGTCGCAACAATACATAAAAGGAAAAACAGAGATGATGATCAGAATAATCCCTAGAGCTGCTAGAAAGGCATGTGCACCTATGCTCATGGCATCTATAGTACAAGGAATAGAACCCTGCAAATACTGCAGAAATTAGCCACTAAAGAAAAGAGAAATATTGAGGCAGCAAGATCCACTGTCATCCATGAATAAAACAGCACAGGAGGAGTGAATATGAAGGAAAGTTTCTACAGGAAGGGAAGTAACACAAAGAAACAGCCATCAAGCTGACAAAGAAAAGGCTGCAACCGAACAATTATGCAATTTGCACTGAATGCAAAATGTCCTTCTTGAAAAAGGAGGGACGTTCTATATTTTCAAATATTACATTATAACCGAGATGCATAAAGCACAAAGTGGAGGTTTAATGGGAATTTGAACTTTTTTTTTATTATTTAAAGGAGCTCAGTAAATAAAATCTAAAATACATTTAAAGATAAATGTCTGAACATTAACACAGTAGCTTCTATTTCTGATTGTGACAGTGTTAACAGTGGTGTTTATTATCTAACTGTTTATTCTTTTTGTTGGTGGTATGGTTATTTCAGTCCAAATACAAAGAAAAGCCTAACACTGTTTTTATGCTTGGTCTTAGAAAGTACATTTATAAAAAGTTTCCAGCTCCTGGTTACTAACAGGACTCTGGGCTCCGTCATACCTTAATAACGATATGTCCTTTCCTAGTCCCTGTACGATCCAACTCCCGGTGTTCCTTCACCATCACTATTTCTCCTTCCTCTTCCACCTTCTGCATGTTCTTCTCCACTTGGTTGAGAATACAGCAATAATCTTGCTGGGCGATACATACAAACTGAAAGGAAACAGAAAATATTAATTTGGGGATTCCAATAGCTGCATCAGTTTCATGTCCAACATACATATATAGCTTGTTTCAGAATCAGTGGTGACAAAACGGGTTTTCCCCACAAAGATGAGGGACTTCTATGAGTTAAAAGGTCATAATTTTAAAACGTCCAGTCACTTCTGTCACTATATCTCAGAAGTACTTAACTATTTAATTGCACTGGGATACTGCTGTGCTAACCAGACACTGATGAATTCATTTTAGATTTTAAAGGTTTTATCTCTATCAACAAAATAACAAATACCACACATTTTATACCATTTAAAACCCATTTTCATGATAGTATTCAATCTGCCATAATAGTATTCAATTTTTTTATAGTGATGTACTGTATGTGTGGTTATTTCCACACTGAATCAAAGAAAAAAATATACATCTTACAACAAAAAACTACAGTATTTTAATAGAATATCCTTTTAAGCAGAATTTTCAGGTCTTAATTTATAGGTGTATCAAAAGGTGTATCAAAGAATTGTTGTAACAAATACAGTTAAGTACCGGCACACCAGGACTATGAGGGCAAAAGACCCTTTTAATTTGGATGGCAGTTTCTTAAGATGCAGCTGAAACTGAGAAACACTCATTTCACAACAAAGCTAAATCTGGTTTAGGGTCATGGCAAACTCCAGAAATGATTCTCAATTTTCAACACTGATTCTCGTTCATGAGCTCATTCAAACTTAAGCATAAACAATCTACCTCATTCCCGTGTTTAAAAACAGAACGAAAGAGATGCGTTAATCGTGCAATTTTGCAATTGCCATATAGCTACATGAGTAAATAAGGTTTAAATATATTTTTTTACATTATTTCTGGTCTTGTTACACTTACCTTTTACTAGACTTATGGGCAATTCAGTTCCTCAAAAGAAAATGACTATAATAATGTATTCATTTATTTTGAGTAGCCACACAGAATACAATTTGACTGTTAAAGCACCACTTGCTTTTAATTACAAATGGTAATACATAATTTGGAATATGAAAAAATAACCTTATTATTATTACAACTCCTAAAATACGTATTCTTGGAGTTCTCAAATCTTTCCTCATGACTCCAAAATGAATGCAGTTTTATTTCAGCTCATTTTTCAAACCCGCAAGCTAAGGATTGAAATTCTGCTCCCTACAATTCGACGAGGACACCTACCTGGCAGTCATCCACCTTGGTTTTCATCACCCCTTTCATGTATTCCTTCTCAAGTGTTGGAGAGACCCCAAAGCTATTCCCCATACACAGGATTTCTGTTCGACCATCAGGGTACGTCACTTCCACAGACCCATTCAAAATTACTGACCAGGAGTCCAGCTGCACAAAAAATGACATCAGTGAACATTTTCTGGCAGTTTCAGACTGAACTAATGATTGTGAAATTAAAGCATATGTCTGGCTCTCTAGAGAGAATGAAACCTTTCAAGCAGAATTGGAAAAAAGGAGTACTGTATGTAAAGCAGTAGAGGAAAGCAAAGAAAGTGCTGTATGCTGGGTACCTAATTTTAGAACATAGTATAGATTTACTAGCTCTTGGCTATACTGCATAAACCCCTCATCAGCATTGCAGATAGTGGATTAAACATTTTTAACATTGGTACACTTTTATGTGCATCAGAAAAGAGTGCTGATGACTTCAAAGCCTTCTCTTCTGGTTGAATGGAAACAGGGGGTCGTAATTGGAGTTGTATCTCTGGGTGATTTTGAATCACCAAATAAAAGAATACTGATCAATACGAAGTTGTAAGTGTTCAAACCATGAACATTCAAACCATATTTTGCTCAGATGTACTCCAAGCAAAGTTTTATGTGTCACAGCACAAATGAAAATCTCATCTTTAAAAATAGTGCCCTTTGTGCTCTGAAAGCCCAGTTAAGTGATCCATATCACAAGTGCAGAATGCAATCAATTTGATGATTTCAAGGTCCACAAAGGCCACAAAAGAGCCCATACTTTTGCATTTAATAATGCGACAATCCACTGTGCTATTAAAGATTGAACATGAGAAAAGGCCCGGAGAAAAACAAATTCTACTGACCTCCTCCCCATCATTGAGGACTATTGTCCCGGCCCGTTCTACCACGGCAAACACCATCACCGCGCAGAGCTCCCTCCTCACTGACATTGTCATGTTAGCAAATGCAGGCAGCTGATGCATGAATTCCAGTAATTGTTCTGTGAAAAAGAAAAAGATTAAACTTGTATTAAAATAAAAAAGGTGTCAAAACACTAGTACTCAGCAAAGGTGTGATTGGATCATAACAGATAAGAAGACTCCTTGATCATTTAACTTCTCCTTCACTAAACTCAAAAAAAGACCCTGCTGAAAAGCCACATACAGTACACTGAAATGGCCTCCAAATGGTTAAAGAATACAAATAATTAAATTAGATTTTCCTCTCTCTTGCTGCAAGGGTCTGTATAGTTTTTAAATACTCAGGAGAAAAAATATACAATAAGAGAAAAAAAATGGCAGAGACAGCTCAATTTTGTAACAGTTAAGCAAGAGAGCAGGAATAATTTGTCCACACTAAAAAACAAACAGCAGAAATGTATGTATGGAGTTATTCCCCTTTGAGGAAAGGTCCCAAAGTTTGGCGAAACAAAATAAAAAAAATTTAGGTGTTTATGTTAAATATACCTGACTGTTTGAAACGTATTAGAATTCCGTAGGAAAAGAACATTCTTGATTAATGTATTGATATGATTAAATAGCGTTAGCACTGAATTTTTTCACTGCTGTAAATGTAAGACTTGTCTCATTATATGAAATAGAAGTGCATTCATGCAAAGAACGGAAATGGTCATGAAGCCAGATTGTGTTACACATTATTATGCACCACAGTCTAACCATCCCGTGACTTTAACTTGTGAAGGCAATAGCAATATTGGACACATGGCACTGCAGATTTCACGTATCTTGATAAATGCAACTGCAGTAATAATGACAAATTGGAGACTAGTAACTCTTATTATTCTTAGATTCGAAACACTTCTAAAAAGCTGCTCATATCAAATTTCAGAAAAAAGTATTGCAAACTGTCTTTTACCCCCAATTATCCTACTTCATCCCCTCTACGTAAACCTTTTACCATTGAACTACCCAGAAAATGGCCTGATAAATTTGATTAGTTTCTCTACAATGTCAATGTGAACTGTTTTTCTTATTATTTTGCTTAACTACTGCATAGCCAGACAGAAATAATATATATAAAACACTTTTCAAACTGACACTGACTCTGATTTTATTCCTCTTTTGACATTTAGGAGAAAAAAAAATCTGTAATGCAGTTACAAATTCAAATATTTTGAATCTCTGAAAATGCAAATACCAAAAAGAAAACCCCAAGACTTTAAAATTAAGACCTTGAATCCAAAAAGGATTCAGATCAAGCGTTGCACTGCTTGTAATTCTTCTTCAGGCCCTTTATGACTGCGTCACTAGGTAAAACAAGTTCACAGTTTTTCTATGAAAAGTAAACACCAGCAATTTATTTTGTTCTCATTGTTGCGAGTTAAAAGCAAGTTCCCAGACTTTGAATTGATTAAATTCTAAATGTGCTCCATATACCCGTTTTGTGCATTTTCTGTTACACGGTCCTTAATTTTTCATTTGGTATCAAGACTAAAAGGGGAGCATGGTGGCACAGTGAACAGTACTGCAGCCTTGCAGCACTGGGGCCTTGGGTTCAATTCTTCGGGGTGCTATCTGCATTGAGTCTGTAAGGTCTCCCTGCGTTAAAGTGGCTTTCCTTCAGGTGCTGTAGATTCCTCCCTTGGTCCGAAGACACACTGGCATGTTAATTGGCTTCCGGGAAAATTGGCCCTAGTGCGAGTGTGGACTTGCATCCTGTCCAAGGTATATTCCCGCCCGTTGCTTGCCAGGATAGACTCGAACCAAATACAGCAGTTAGAAAAGGGATACCTGTACATTGGTTCAGGGAGGTTATGTCGGTGGTTTTAAAGTATAAAAATATTTTGCTAAAATAATGAGTCCACTCAAATTTAACATCAATAGTGGGTGTTACTAGCACATCTTGAGGGTGTAGCATTTCATTGCTATATATAACTAAGTACTATAACTATTCATAATTTCAACATGATCTGAATTATAGAAAACAGAACAAAAACAAGGCTAATGTTTCAAGGTGGGTGTTTAGTGCAATCACTGGACACATTTTACTTCAGCTAGTGCAAAACAAGTAACTGATGTCTACACATCTGAATACACTGGGAAATCGGATCACAGAGTCAAATAAAACAATCTCACAAGCAGAGCTGTGCAAGTATCTGCTTTTATTTTATTAAGAAACTAACAAAAAGTACACACTTCCTTCCAAAAAGAATTATAAAGCTTTTAGCAGATGCATTAGTAAAAAAAATCTATGAAGACATCCTTCATGAACTAGTACACATCCTCAGGATGAATGCAGAGGAAACAAAGCAGACATGAATCCTCTTTATAAAAAACAAAGAGCCCAATTTGTCATGTTTACTTTTGTGGTCACAAGATTATCTTGTAGAAATAAATGTAGGTCTATATTGCAGAGACCTTCTTAGATCTATTTTTTAAAAATACTGTGTCGTAGTATACCTACATATATATATATAATTTATACAACAACTAGTTCCTGGTAAGGGTCGTGGAACCCTGGAAATACAGGGTTTAGAAAAAGAACTATACACTGGACAGGATGCCAGTCGATTACAGAGCAATTTAGAGCAACCAGTTAAGCTAATAAGCACGTCATTGGGAAGTGGGAGGAATCCTGAGTTCTTGGTGAAACCCCACTAAAACATATGGACAACTACATACAGTGTCTTGCAAAAGTATTCATGCAAGACTCTTCTGATGGAGTCCCATGCTGTTTAATTATAAATGATGTAATGCATTTTTAAGTTAATCTTACCAAATCCTGAATGGTCAATCACTTGGTAAATATAAGCAAAGAAATTTAAAACTAAATATGTTGATTACTTAAGTATTCAACCCTCTTGGGTCAATACTTGGTGGAAGCAACTTTAGCAGAGCTGGAATTATAAGTACATATAAGGTTTACCAAGTTGTTACCAAATGTGCACACCAGAATGGTGCGGTTTCAAACATTTTCCTGCGCAAAATTTCTCAAGTTGTCAATTTGGTTGGGGAACACAAATGGACAACAAGATTTGCTATCATGATAAGTACTCTGGAAGAACCATTCAAGGACATTCACTTTCATCTTAAGCCAATGCAGCCTTGGCCTTCTGCACAGTACAAACTGCTAATTCTTCTTGCACAGATGATTCCTACTGCCACCTTGTCTTGGGTCTGACTCACCAATATCATCATCAGTTCTGTCCATGGGGTCCTTCTCCAGGCAATCGCGGACAATATCTCGGCTCATTAGGGGATCGGAAGCCCGTTCAATATCTTCTTCATCATCATCCTCCTCGGAATCCACCGCTGTCTCGGGTAACCCACTCAGGTCCATGTCTCCAGCCTCACTCTCAGTGGCCTACAAGACAAAGTTTTCCAGAATTCAAGAAAAGAGAGACTGCTCACATTGGGCCATAAACAGATGTTAGCAAAATGAGCAGTCATCATTGTCGAACATGAATCCAACAATGCCATAATATACTAAAAAAAATAGCAATTTTCAAATCCTTGTTTGTAAACAGCATAACATTTACTGACAAGGGCACACTAGAACTACTTTCTTACAATGAACAATTAAATGTTTATACAATAAGGACTAACAATCTATGGTCTAAATATTCAAGTAAATGCATCATTTCTGCAAGCATCAAATTATTGGAATTCTAAATCCCAAATAATTCCTGATATTAAATACAACACAAAAACATCAACAGTAACCAACTCAACACAGAGCTACTCTCTGAACATTTTCTTATTAAGGATGTGTTTAAAGACCATTATTATAAGAATTATAAACATCTTTAACCCCACAATTGTACCTCAAGAATACATCTATCAGCTGAATCCAACCACAGCAGCATATCTGGCTTAAACCAATAAAACGTTAACAGAGTGGGAGCTCTAAGCAGTTGCGCCACTGCATCATTACTGTACTGTGAAAGCACTCACGAGTAGCTACTACAATGGCAATTCCAGCATTTGGTACAGGTTATTTCCTAACCTGCGGGATTGTCATACAGTAAGTATTAGTATTATGGTGTCCACTTATTCTTATCTTAAGCCACACTACCACCCTGCTGATGATATCTGATTGACACAACTGTTCAACAAAATCAGCAGCAAACAGATGGGGAAGAAGCATCAAGGCATTAAGTCCTGCTGAGACAGATAAAGGGAAAGTGGATTGGAGCAGTCTCCTGTGGGAGGAGGGCCCACATGGACATTGCCATAAAAAACTCCTGACACGAAGTTTCACTCCACATTAACCTGTTCATTTTTCCTTTGCCACTCTAGTAGGTTGGATTGCTTCATATTTTACTCATTTTCATTTTTCATTCCACATTCCGCCAAAGCCAGGACAAATGGTGCTGATTTCTTATATCCACTTCAAATGCAACATTTGGAAATTTGACACTTTCAATGGAAAATACACAAAGTCTTGCTCTGTGGATAGAGCAAACAAAACCTTACAGATTATCCCCCCCCCATGCTTTATAAAAGAACTACAAGCTTTGCCTCATCACAAAGTAAAACCTCCCACAGTGATCTTTGCTGGCTTCTGCTGCCAGGAGTGTTTTTGAACTAAAATTTCCTGGTTTACAAAAATGTATGCCCTGTATCTCTAAATGACAAGCAAAAAAACCCATAAATGATTCACTACTGTGTCTGACTCGTGACTCTAGCATAAGGTCTCACAAGCACTATGGGTTCTTCAGGGATTTCAAGGCATTATATATTAAAAATGGAACATGGGACTATTTAAGGAGAAAGAAGCAAGAAAGGAAACACTGCACTGTGTCAAACAACTTGAATCCCAGAATCCAGAATGTCTGGAGTCATGTCTGGCATTATCCTCAATGCACTGAGCCTGAATAATTTCCAAGGTTAGAGATATAGCCAGTCAGTTCTCTGACAGCATCGTCCTACCTGAAATACTGAAAGGACCATGGCATTAAAAATGACAACTGTTGGACAAATAGATACACTACGGCTCATTTTGAAATAGTTTAAAACGATTCTCTGCCAACATAATTTTAGACGGAAGCGGATGCACAACAAATGTTTTATTCCTAAATTTAATGCAATAATAACTATACTGTTATTCAGCAATTATTTCAAATACCATTAAGTCAACAAAGAAAAAAGAAAAAGTAAGAAGGTAAAGATGAGTATTCTAAGTAAGATTAAAGACGAAGATGAAGTGCAAGCTTTTAATAAAAAGGGGAAATTACTAAGAACTGGGGAAATACTATCTTTCTGCAAGATGTCTCTTATTGCAGTCCAATAATATATAAATAAAACCCACAGTGATTACATTTAAAAATAATGAACACAAGATAATTTTTATGGCCAAAAATTCAATTGTTGCAGCAGGTGTCAGGCATTAAATGACACTCTTGAAACCATAAAAATGCATATTGTTTTTCTTTATTATTATTACACAATAAATACAAACTACCTAGACCGTAAAAATCAATTCCTACTGTTTAAAGTATCATTTGTAAAGTTATGGAATCCAGACCACAACAGTGACCAAAAATAGGTTTCACACCGACGGATGTTAAACAAAAAAAAAGACAAACATTGTATATTTTATTATGCATCTTCCTCACCCTAAATGAGTTTACCTATCAATGTGCAATGCCTGTCACACAGAATAGAGCTGATAATTAATATTTCAACAGGGCTATTCTTGGATTCGTGCGTTAGCCATGTGAAGAACCACTTTCATGATTTATTCAAATATAAAATGGTCTGCCATTATGCCGTCTTTTCCAGCCACGGAGAAGCCACAGCCGATAAATCTCACTGAAGAGCTAACAATAGAGCATTTTCAGTTGACAGGGCAAACACAACACTGATACAATTGCACCGATTTAGGTGGCATTTATCATCTGTCAACCTTTTTTAAGGGCAGATATTTGACAAAACTAAGTTGTTACGTTTTATTTTGGTCTGCAATAGACCTTGTATTACTGGAAGCAATCGGTTTCTTTATTTACATGCTTAAAAAACAAACAACAATTTAGTACAATAACATTGCAATGATAAAGGATATAATTCTACAACCGCAATAGAAAAGGAAAATGTATCTTACCAAAATGTTAAAAGTTAATACTATATGTGTGTTTTTAAGTAGATAAAAATTAATATTTGATTTAATAGTTTTAAATAACATAGGACAGTTTCAATTTTCATGTTTAATAAAACAATAGGCCTAATCTAAGTTATACTTTCTCTATTAAATTTTTAAAGACAGAAGACTAATCTATTGACATGTTAGAAAGATGTCCCCTAATTGAAAGTGAAGTATTGATTTACCCTTTAATTTTAAGTGAAGCACTGATTTACTATTTAATTACAGATGTCAAGACTGGACCAAAGGCCTTCAAAATCTTTGTTTAACATGTAATGTTCACAGACCTTTGATTTACAGTATATATTTTCACTGATACAACTGCTGCCTAATTAAGGATGACCATTTTAACCAATACTAGAATTCAGTACTAATTTAATTGTGCATGTTATGTCAAGCAATCATTGTAGCTCAGTAGACTCAGTTTTGTCCTGTTCCTGTGCTATTGTGGTGAACTTGGAGTTGATATTACTACTATATTATCTACTATTGCAGTCTGAATTTTAAAAGAAGAAATGTTTAAAAGCCTCCTATCCAGTGAGTCAGTCAACCCAGTGCAGTAGCCAAAGTGAACACATCAGGAGTAGCTGGGAAGGGAATCTCTTTCATCAGGCTTAAAGACCACTTGGATCCACTACGGATGTATTAATGAAAGACAAACAGATGGCCTTACATATAGTAACAAGCAGTGGAAAATCAGAGCTTAAAGATTTAGCTCTTTACGCAGCAAAAGTCAAAGCACAAAGACACAAGCTCTTTCAAAAGAAATTCAATTACTTTTGATTAAAAGTTTATTTTAAATGTTTGATTAATTCAAAACACCAAAAAAGAGGAAATGGTGTTTCCTGAAACTAAAGTGTATTCTTTTAAACTACACTTCATTTAAATATATTGATATAATTCTGTATTTCCTAAAATCAAATAATACAAATAAATGAATCCCATAAAACAGCATAGTTGCATCACAATTTACAAAATCCATTCAGTGAGTATAATCTCTACCGAGACAAAAAAGAGACAAAATATTATTATTCATAGAAATCTTAAATATTCAACTGAAAGATAAATCAAAGTGCAGATTCACCTTATGATATAACAACAACAGTCTCTATCATGGCTTAATCAGAAAACTGGTTGAACCATGTGGATGATATGCCACCGGTTTGAACCAGGTCACGCCACTAGCCAGCTGTGACTGGGATTACACTTGCAATGGTGCACACCCCTGGGGTAGGACAGGCATTAACTGGCTGGGGATTTCCTGGCATTCGGCAAAACAGCCAGGAAAACCCTGCAAGCTTGCACTGACATCCAAAAACCACTCTGACAGGTGGGTGTGTCAGTGGAGCACATCTGCAAATTCTCACTCTGCCCGTAAGTACAGGCTGCACAATGAATCTTTAACTGGAGATGCAAAAATGTAGTAAAAACTTGGCAATTCCAGCTAACAAACATCAAATAAAACACATTTTATGGTATACATAAGATAAATAAAAAAATACTTTGCTATTTCTTTTTAATTTTCAGCACTTGATAATTATATCTCCAACAATAATTTTGAATTATGGTTTTCAATCATAAATGTCTCAGATGATAAACAAAATGTTTCCCAAACATGTTTGTCAAAGTGTGTAGTAAGGATTTCTGTTCATTTTATGTATGTTGCAAAAATTTATTTTTAACTGGGCATCCACATTATATATTTTGGTAGCATAAATGGAATCTTTGGGAATTACTTTAACTACCCAAACAATTTTGTCTAAATTTCTATTTCTTGCAAAGACCAGAAAAAAGTTTCCATGGTGCTTTTAAAAAAAAAGTCATAGTCTACAAAACTAATAGCCTGCTTACCTGGTAAATATCTGACAGGCTGCTGCTTCCCGAGTCGCTTGTAATGCTACATCCTGAGTGACTGGATGAAACGTGGGTCACCTGTGGATGAAGGCTGTCTGTGAGATGGAGCTTGGTGAAGTCTGCAGGAAGCTGAATAAAACAAAATGAGCAGTAAATACACGTTTGCTCACTATAAACTAACAAACACAAAGAAAGAAAACATCAGCACCACCACATGATTATGCACAACAGGATAAAAACACTTGTTTTATTAAATTTAAGGAAAACTCTCATGTCTACAAATTACCCCTTCATAAAAAGATAATATAATGTGTAGAGAATCACTGACAAAGCATTAGTTGGTAGCAAATAAGAATTTACAGTACTTCCAAGTAGTTCAGATATGATAGTACCAAGTTCCCTAGAAAAAACAGAGAGCTATGATTTAGGAGAATCTTGAACATACATGTTGAGAAGACAGTACAATACCTAACAAAGGAAATATTGATGGACAATGTTTAAGAATCTTCAACAGACAATACAAATAAACACCCACAGTATGACAAAAAGTAAACAAACAAGTCTGAGTACTTCTTGAGAAAATATCTTATGCCGAGATGAATCCAAAATCTTTTCCCAAAAGCAGAAATGTATATTTAATCTATGGTGAAAAGGACATTTAAATGTTTATTATTACTACTGCTGCAAGCATAGAACTGACTCAATTTTCATGCTTAAAGTAAACTTCAATACAGAAGAAACCGAACCGTACTGTCAAGACACCTTGTAAACGTATCAGATATATCATAGCTCCCTCTTTGAGAATACGTTTTCAACAAATGGCCAAGTCGAATGGGTGGGAAAATCATTCAGGGAGGCAGCTTGAGGTATGAGAACAAAATGATGGCCGTGCAAATGTCTTGGTATATACAAGAATGACAGTCTGTCAGATGTTAAAAGTACACTCTGTAGAATGATACCATGTTTGGAATTAACTGAACAATTAAACAACTGGGAATAAGCCTTACAGGCTACACGTCAACAGCGAAGAAAAAAAGGTGGTCATACAAAACACAACAGGAGTTATGCAGTTATAAAGTTTATACAGTGCCCTCCCAAAGAATTTGGATAGCAGAGCCAGAACTATTATTTCTGTTTTTAAAATAAGCAAGTTGCATTTGTGATGGAGAAAGTAATATAATACTTTAGAATATACTTTTTATTAATGGATTATTCAATGGACGCATCCGGTAATACTCAAAGAAAAAACAGTATGGCAATCTGTTGAGTTCTCCATATTGCATATAATCATTTGCGATGCTTTGTCAAAACTCTGCTGCAGTCACTTCCAGCCTTGTTCTTTGGGTGCTCTACCTTAGTTTTTTTGTTAAATGCATGCTCAATTGGATTGATCCTGCTGCTGCTATTTTTAGTTAGGCTAGGACAAATACCTTTGCTATGATGCACAAATGACAGTGTTCTATGCATCTGTGCATGCTTTTATTCCTCCAAAGTTTAACCTTTTAATTACTTTGGTGAAGGTTTACCTTTGTTTCATTTGTCCATAAAACTTGAGAAAATTCTCATCTGTCTTTTCTGTTCTTGGTTATGACAAAAAACTTGACTGTTGCAGTATAGCCTTGTTATTTCTGCTGTATCAGTCTTCCAAAACCTCTGTGATACCTTCACCCTGTACTCTGCAGGTTGTTGGCCTTTGCACCAACAGTTATTTTAGATTTGTCCTTGGCAGCTCTGATCTTTTTTTTAGCACCACCTACAGATGTTTTTCTTAGGTGACCTTGGACAGGTATTATTAGTAATTATACTGTACCTGTGTTTTTTTCTCAACAGCTCTTCATTTTGGTATACCCATTTTCTGTGGAATGTCTGATTTAATCGTTCTTTTAAGTTTCAAACTAGCACTTTTCTGTAATTCAATGTTCTAAGGTTCACATTTTTATTTAAACTTCTGCCTCCAAAAACTGTGATTAAAGCAACAGTTTGCTATGTTTACATCCTTTTTTACAAGTACCTATTTACCCCAAAATGTACACCTGACCAATCTGAGACACCCGTCAGCCAATTGTCACAATGATTCTGCTCCTTCAAAATAAAATGGATCAGCACTATTTAATTGTCCAATAAGGACAGAAAAAAATTATATTTATTATACGTCCTTAGTGAAAATCCCCATTTAGACTTCACCATCCTAATTCTTTTGGAAGGCACTTTATACCTATCTTGATATATAAGAAACCTACCCGTAAAATGTTTTTGAGTTAATTGGCCAATGTATTTAGCATAGGTGTTGATAAAGTCAGGTTTCAATACAATCCCCATGAAGACTTTTTATTTCCAAGAAGATCCCCAAAGGATTTTAATACATGTAACAGGCATAAATTTAGGGGGAACTTGAGGAATCCTGAATCTAGAAGCCCAGAGCGGAATTTAAAGAAGAATAAACGTACAAATTCAATTCCTCATGTGTAGACATATTTGTAATGCTGTTCACATACATAATGAACATCATAAAATATCATTCCACCTGCAAGCATGTTTTCAGAAAAATAATTTAAATGCATTTTGGATATTCAGCAAATGTTTCTGGTGTCATTTTGACAAATTAATTGCTCATGAAAACAATATATTTACAAGATCAGCCTGTTGGAGGCAAGACTAAATCAGCACGCAGTCGTGTGCTGTCGGCTGTCTTCACACTGTCATTTCTAAACTGGCAAGACCTTACACGGTCTATTGGTCATGATCTGGAAGACCATTATTTGTGATATGGCACCAGATTCAACACATTTTCATCCAAGTGTGATAGCCTGGGCGGGAGTGTCTGGCTGCTACAAAAATTAGTGATTGTAGGCATCCTGACTTTACACTACTACATTGATCAAGTCCTTAGATCTCACTTGCAACCTTCTTGCAGGCTCATCTGGAGGTGGAAACATTCCAGCAAATCAATTCACATCATCATGTTGCTCGCATTATACTGGATTTCTTACAAGATGAGAATGTTAAAGCTATGTTTTCAATGCCATGAACACTACTAGCCTGTGACTTTCACAAGCTAGTAAACAACCTTGTTGATAACAAATCAGCATAATGTATTTACTTATATCCATTCAATAAACAGTCAGTGCACCTACCATAAAAATATTTTTTGGGACTTTGTAAATCTGCTAAATATTAAGTTTCTTTTTATTCCAGAATAAAACTGAAAAGGACATTCTAAAGCTTTCCTCCTGCATTCAATGCCATGCTGACCGCTCAAGGCAAGCTAGAGAAAGGATGGATATATGGGAATGTGCTATAGATGTAACCTCTTGTATGAGCCAAACAGGGAATCAATTAATAAAAGCTTTCTCATATTCCAAATTACACCTCATTGAATATTGTGCAGATTGCAAAGCCCCCTAAATGGAAAAAAAATCCTTAATTTATGAAGAAGTCCATGATAGAAATGGCCCCATATTTTCTACACAGCAAAAAGAGACAACATTTGAAAATGCAAAAAAGAATTCTCCAGTGGAAAATTGAAACTTTCCACTGAAACACATCATAAAAAATAAAAAAACAGATATAGTAATGCATGTGAATTCAGGATACCATAGTCGGTATGCTTTGGAAGAAAAAGAAAATAAATAAAGTTTGCATTTTTTATTACAGACTCAATTTTTTTCCCCCCAAAGGCAGTAATCTGAGTCATTCATATTGTTACCAGCGTCAAACGAATTAATTCTGAGGCCATATTAGTAATGCAACATCAAAACAACCTCAAGTATGAAATAGTAGCAGACACCTCTCCTCTGGACGGGATCTAGGAGAAAGAGTTCCTATGCAAACCAGGAGAGAGAACTCTAGCCCAACTTTCACCTGGCCCTTAAATAGCAGCAGGAAGGAGCCTGATGTTGCTGTCCCTCCTCCAATGCTAAGAGACAGGCTGTTTTGGTGTGCTGTAAAACATTCTGTTCAACGTAAAACCAGTGATTACTGAACCCAATTAGCTTTTTTTAGCTTCTGATCCACATCATATCTTCCTCCCTGTAAGCCACACACAAAAGCATTACAATTCCATGTTTTGGTTTGAGTTTTTCTACAAAAATAAAACTGATCCTCCAGAGGAAGGCATTTGTGCAATCTCTAAAGAAAAATAAAATGACAATGAAAAATAAATTATATATAATCTCTATTTGAGCCAATTCTCTGGTATTTTAAAAGAATGAGAAATGAACCCAGTTACAATAGAAGCAAATGACCTTGATCAAGAAAACCAGTAAACTGAAACATTCATTAGGACCTACACCAACACCTAGATCGTTAATGTGGATCCTAATATCTAAACAGCAACCTTAAACATGATTTAAAAATAGGCCACTGTCACTAAGGTGGAAGCTACACTATTAAGGATAATCCTGTTGTCAGATAATAAAAAATATAATACTAAAGCTTCCAAGTATGAAAAAGATAATAGTTCATTTGACTTAACTTGTATGAGTGCTGGAATAAAGAACAAGATAAAATTATGACATCAATCCACTGCAGAAGTACTAGGAAACAATCATACAGCGTACCTGCTAGAGATAAGAAGTCTTATTATTTGCAAAAGTTTTCAATGCTTACTTAATATAATTACTTCAGTAACATGATAAATCTATATAGACTACTACAGTGATTTTATGAAAATTCATACTTGATTTATGTCTGCCACATTAAATTTGCCATCTAAGCAAGCTATTAAGATATTCAAAAGGCTGACATTTTTGTAGCTCCTCTATAATTAGGTTATATTATAATGGACATCCCACCATTTATTATATATTCAGCTACTAAAACACTATGACGGTACCAGTATCTATGTCCAATTCATTTCAAATGGCAATGCAATTTAAATTTCCACGTGTCAAAATGAATTTCAAGGTTTATACTATAGGAATTTTTGAAAAATGTGCAGCATGTGAAAGAGTTGTGCTCATTTTAAATCTATTATAACATTTTTTCTCAATAGCAAAAATATGGTATTGGTTGACAATTTATCATCATATGGATATATTTCAAGTAATTTACATCTTGCAAAGCAAGACCTAGTGTTCTGGCCATGTAAAATCTAATTTAGTTGGTGCAGGTGTTGAGAGGGTAACATG